GATTTGCCCACCTGGGAAGAATGGCAGATGAAGTTGATGGACTACATGGAACTGGCAGAAATGACTGGCAGAATCCGAGACCAGGGAGAGGAGTTGGTGGAAGAAGACTGGAAAAAGTTTAAAGATTATCTACAGAAATATTGTAAAATTAATGAATGTTAGAAAAAAGTTGAAATGAAGTTATATGGCTTTAGTAGAAATATTATAAGGAATTAAGTACAGATAGGTTAATAGAGTATTAAAGGAAAAAAATAAGGTTAGAATGAGTTAAGATAATTATAGGATAGAAAACAGAGGAGGATGGAAAGGAATTGCTGAAATAATTAACAGAAGTGGAATACAAAAAGGGAGGTGTGAGGAGGTCGTGGAGATAAGTGAATGAAAGATGGGATAATGAAATTGGTTGATTTATTTTATTGTCTTAGTCTTGTTTTGTTAATTTGATGTGTTGTATTGCATTGTTTTTCTTTTCCTTTTTCTTCTTCTTTCTTTTAGTGTTTTTGGAAAAATAATAAATATTTTTTTTAAAAAAAAAGAGAAAAATTTAGGTAATGGCTTTTAAGGCTGTTCAGTGATTTGCACTTAGAGCTAACACAAAGCACAGAGAGATGTTCTTCTTCTTCTTCTTCTTCTTCTTCTTCTTCTTCTTCTTCTTCTTCTTCTTCTTCTTGCTTTAAATGAACTTGCTATAGAAAACAGAACTCTTGGGTTTATTATTCTCTCTTATAAAACACTGCATGTTTCCACCACCAGACCTAGAATGACCTTGAAGGTAAGGCAGCTGAGGCTAGGATCTTATTATAGATGGTGCTCACAAGGCCTCAACCCCCACCTCTTTTAAGTAGGGGTGTATCACAAACAAAGGGTGTGAACTGTGAGCGAACAGGTTTTGGGAGCAAAATCCCTGTCAGCCATTAAAATTCAGAGAGAGGGAACTAAGGCAGGCTGTGATTTCTTACCATCAGTCCTTATCCTTGCCACCTGATATAAAATAATAATGATAATAAAGCCCAAATAGCTTGTATTCATTCTCTCTGAAAGAATGCATTCCCTCATATGAACCAGCCTTGGTTTTGAGATCTTCCAGGGAGGCCCTGCTGTTGGTCCTACCACCATCACAGGCTTCCTTGGTAGGGAAATGGGAGAGGGCCTTCTTGGTAGAGGCTGCTACCCAACTGTGGAACTCCCTCCCTAAAGAATTTAGACTAGCTCCCTTCCTGTCCTTCCTCCAGCAGGTGAATTATTTCTTGTTCCAACAGGTTTTTGGGAATTGGCTGCTTTTAAATAAAGGACTAGCACTGTTCAGTTTTTATTGTAATCTTCTGTATGTTTTTAATAGAAGATCAGAAAGATACATGATGGGTAGATATAGATAGATAGATAGATAGATAGATAGTTTATCAATGTTTAATTGTTTTTTTAATAATTTTTTTCCTTATTTTTTTAGCTGTTCTTATTTTTATCTGTAAGCTGCCTTGAGTCCCTGTAAGGGGAAAAGGCAGGCCATTAATAATAATAATAATAATAATAATAATAATAATAACCATACCAGCAGGAAACCTCCCATCTACCCTGTGTCCCACACTGCCAGAGCATATATTTCCATGCTACTTCGTCTTTTCCAAAAATCAAGGCACCAGAGAATAGAACCACAGAACTGTAGAGTTGGAAGTAACCCAAAGGATTGTCTAGTCAAACCCTCTGCAGTGCAAAAATCTTAACTGAAGCATCCATGACAGGTGGACATCCAACCTCTGCTTGAAAACCTCCTAGGAAGGAGAGCCCACCACCTCCTGAGGGAGACCATTCCACTGTCAAACAGCTCTTACTGATGTTCAGTCAGAATCTCCTTTCTTGTAACTTGAAGCCATTAGTTCGAGTCCTTACCCCGCAGGGGCAGGAGAAAGCAAGCTTTCTCCACCTTCCCTGTGATAGCTCTTGAGATATTTGAAGATGGCTGTGTATCTCCTCTCAGTCTCCTCAGTTCCACCACCTCCAAGTGACTTGGCCTGCCTCAAAGTCCTCACTCACACACCACCACCATGGATTGCTCTTCACAAAAACAGTGATCATCTGCTTCCATCTGCCCCTTGTATTTGTCACTGTATCCCATCTGTTCCCCAATGCTTCCATCCCAGATGGTTATCAGCACTGACTGGCTTGAGGCAATTCTTTGAATACTGCCATGAATAACAGGAAGTTTGGAGCGTGTGATTTTTAATTTTTTTAATCTGGCCCTTGAAGAGAATCATTGTGAAACTCTTCCTTTTGATTATTTCTTTCTTCTAGCCAATTTTTTTAAAAAGAAAAAAGAAACAGTATAGGAAAGGGTATGTGTGTGTTTAAGGAGATTGGTTTCTCCATGCTGCCTTCATTTTCCTTTGATCTCACAAGTGTCTGGTGGCTGAAACCACTCATTCCAACGCTCCCAATCTATCAAGGATAGGTCCTGTTATTTTGTTACCTATCCCTGGGAAATCGTTGCAAGCAAATCCTTAAAGAAGATGCAAGAAACTGTAGCTGTGGTGAAAAGCGTTATATTTATTCAAATATAGGAAGATAGAAGGTATGCAATCAATCAAACAATAAACCACAATTACCCAAATCAAACTCTAGTCTGGCCACTGGAATTTCCCTGCTCCCAGAAAGGGCCTGCATGGCACAAGATGAGAGATCCTGGTACACCTACAATGAGTTTATTGGGAATACACCATAGCTTGCAGACAGGCAGTCCTTTCTGCATCCCCCCCCCCCAAAAAAAAGAGAGCGAAAGAGAATACAGAAGAAGAAGAGTTTGGATTTGATATCCCGCTTTATCACTACCCTAAGGAGTCTCAAGGTGGCTAACATTCTCCTTTCCCTTCCTCCCCCACAACAGTCTGTGAGGTGAGTGAGGCTGAGAGACTTCAAAGAAGTGTGACTAGCCCAAGGTCACCCAGCAGCTGCATGTGGAGGAGTGGAGACGCGAACCCGGTTCCCCAGATTACAAATCTACCGCTCTTAACCACTACACCAAACTGGCTCTCTCTACAGAAATCCCTAAAATTTGTCAGTCTCAATTCTCGTGTACAGATATGTTTTTAGACTAATTCCTCTGTTTGAAATAGGAATACAGTCGTACCTTGGTTCTTGAATGCCTTGGTACTTATACATTTTGGCTCCTGAATGCTGCAGACCCGGAAGTAAATGCCCCGGTTTGCAAACATTTTTCAGAAGACGAACGTCCAATGGGGCTTCTGCTTGACTGCCGGAAGCTCCTGCAGCCAATCAGAAGCCGCGCCTTGGTTTTCGAACGGTTTCTGGAGTCAAATGGACTCCAGGAACGGATTAAGTTCGAGAACCAAGGTACCACTGTGCAATATATCTCATCGTATTGGTGAAGAACATGACCAGGTGGCAGATTTTGCATGTTTAAAACTTGAATAAAAGATTTATAAGGAACACATTGTAAGACAATTCTGTAGGCCACCCCCCCCCCACTAGCTTTTAAATCAATAGAGAGGCTTCAGCAGAGTAAACCATTTCATAATATGCTTCCAACAACAAACAACTAAGAGGTAAAATGGCTGGAACACGACTGCTTGACATGAGAATTGGAGCGATCTCAAAGCAGGTGTCTGTTTTCAAATGGGAAAATGTTGGGGTTTATATATTTGAAGGTAGCACTTTCAAAAGCTTCCCTGACATCAGGAGTGCCAACTTGAATAAAATATATTGGGTGGGGGGGGCAAGTAAGCCCCACCACGCGTAATCAATCACGTGACATGATGCACACACACAATTTGAATGGCAATGTCCATCAACTTTTTTGGGGGGTAGCCCCCTCAAATATTTTATTTTTTTGGAGGGAGAAGACTCCTTGGCCCCTAGGAGTTGGCTCCTATGCCTAACATCACACTGCAATCCTAATAAGGATCCTTTAAAAGTAGGTCAGTATGAGTGTATAACTCATGTTTGCTTGTTTGTTAAATTTATATCCCACCCTTCTTCTAACCCTAACCCTTCCAACTGTCCCATTCAATGTTTCTATGAAAATAAATCAACAAAGTATTTAAAACACCTTAAAAATTGCAGATGGAAAACAAGGCTAAGGGATTATGTGGCTTGGCTAAGGCCATAAAGTCTTCTTCTTCTTCTTCTTCTTCTTCGGCAATCATTCGTAGCCGAGTAAGATTGTCTTCCATGAACACAGTTTTAACAATGAGTCCGTAAGTGACTGTGGAGGCCAATTCTGGACCCACATGTCCTTCCACAGTGGGGACCTTGGTTCTGGGGTGGGAACTGATCACGATGTGGATTTGCCAAGCATGCCTTCCTCTTTGCATGTTTCTCCCTTGCGTTCTGAGTTCGAGTGTCTTTAAAGTCCATGACACCTTTGGTAAAGGCTGTTCTCCAACTGGAGCCCCCACAGGCCAGTGTTTCCCAATTGTCAGTGTTTATACTACATTTTTAAAGATTTGCCTTGAGACAGTCTTTAAACCTCTTTTGTTGACCACCAGTGTTACACTTTCCATTTTTCAGTTTGGAATAGAGTAGTTGCTTTGGAAGACGATAATCAGGCATCCGCACAACATGACCAGTCCAACAAAGTTGATGTTGATGAATCATTGCTTCAACGCTGGTGATCTTTGCTTCATCCAGTACACTGATATTAGTTTGCCTGTCTTCCCAAGTGATGTGTAAGATTTTCCGTAGACACCGTTGATGGAATCTTTCGAGAAGTTGGAGATGGCGTTTGTAAGTGGTCCATGTTTCACATGCATACAGTAAGGTTGGTAGTACAATAGCTTTGTAAACAAGCGTTTTGGTTTCCCTGCGAATGTTCCGGTCCTCCAACACTCTGCACTTTAATCAATAATGGCAGGAGGACTTCTTGATTCATAGTTCGTTCACCTTCCAGCTCTGCCACACCAGCAGCTAATCCACATTCCATCATTGCATTGTGTCACCTTCCAACAGCTTTTCCTGGAACCTTCTGATGCCCTTCCCTTGATTGTCTCCCAGAATTCTCTTAGAGGTTCTGAAATGCCTTATTTCTACAGAACAGTTGTGCTGGGCTCAGTTTTTCCCTACTCACAAGTTACAGAAAGCTATGGTAAGTCTGGGTGCTCTTGGCCTATTTGTCTTCCATCCTGTGGGATCTACCCTCTGCATGGTTGAAGGATTTCTCCAGGCAGATCTCATTACTTCCCAGTTCTCTGGCTGATCCTGTTGCCCGAACTAAGGCTGTGTACCAGATTCAGTCAAATCCCAAGATGAACTGGGTTGATTCAGGGGAGATGATTCAGGCTTCAGCCGAGTTGCATCAAGAGAGCCCCAGAATCACTCTGGGTCAGTTACTTATTCATTCAGGATATAGGTTCTAGAAGGGCAGTTTAAAAGTAACATTTATTTGCATATGTTAAAGACACAGAAAAGGGTATCTATGTACTGAAAACACACTGGGATGCTTCACACAGTGCAGATGATGGTAGATCACCCCAAAGGGGGAGATTCAGTTTGAGTAGGCCTTGAAGTGGTGGTCTTTACCTGCCTTCCAATCTCCCCATCTGAATAGCTAACACGATGCCCTCATGCTTAGAAGATTTCATTCCACACTACTTTTAGGGAGACTCCAGGGAGATTTGGAAATTGGATGATAAGGGAGAGCCTCATGGCAATAATTAACCCCTGTATCTATCATGGCAGCAGCTCTTTAAAGGGGGGGGGAGTCAGCTGAGCAGAGGAGTGCATTCTGTCTTAGCTGGGAAGACCCTAGGGAGGCTGTAAGGTGGCCATCACAGAGACAAATAAGTGCCTTGCCTCCATACCTTGCTTAGGGACTTCCTGCAGGCATCGGATCAGCTGCCTTCTACCAACAACGCTATCTTATTTCCCCCCAGGTGAGCCTATTTTATGACTTCTACTCAGGAAACCATGGACAAAAAGGAGGCGCCAACTAGTAAAAAACCCAAGAAACGGGTGAGCCTGGAGGCTGCATTCAAGGTACTGGGTTTATAACACATTGAAAATCAAAGTTTCTGTGTAATTGTTTCCCAGGTTTCAGATACAGCATTCCACTTTTGTCTTTTATTATGGCAATCTTTGTACGAAATGTTCCTTTTATATCTCCAATTTTCTTGAACAGATCTCTGGTTTTTCCCATTCTATTGTTTTCCTCTATTTCTTTGCATTGCTCGTTTAAGAAGGCCTTCTTGTCTCTCCTTGCTATTCTTTGGAAATCTGCATTCAATTTCCTGTATCTTTCACTATCTCCCTCGCATTTTGCTTGCCTTCTCTCCCCCGCTATTTGTAAGGCCTCGTTGGACAGCCACTTTGCTTTCTTGCATTTTCTTTTCATTGGGATGGTTTTAGTTGCTGCCTCCTGTATAATGTTACAAACCTCCATCCATAGTTCTTCAGGCACTCTGTCCACCAAATCTAAATCCTTGAACCTGTTCCTCACTTCCACTGTATATTCATAAGGGATTTGATTTAGATTGTATCTTACCGGCCCAGTGGTTTTTCCTACTTTCTTCAGTTTAAGCTTGAATTTTGCTATAAGAAGCTGATGATCTGAGCCACAGTCAGCTCCAGGTCTTGTTTTTGTTGACTGTATAGAGCTTCTCCATCTTTGGCGGCAGAGAATATAATCAATCTGATTTCGATGCTGCCCATCTGGTGATGTCCATGTGTAGAGTCGTCACTTGTGTTGTCGGAAAAGAGTGTTTGTGATGACCAGCTTGTTCTCTTGGCAGAACTCTATTAGCCTTTGCCCTGCTTCATTTTGAACTCCAAGGCCAAACTTGCCAGTTGTTCCTTTTATCTCTTGACTCCCTACTTTAGCATTCCAATCCCCTATAATGAGAAGAACATCCTTCTTTGGTGTCATTTCTATAAGGTGTTGTAAGTCTTCATAGAATTGGTCAATTTCAGTTTCTTCAGCACCAGTGGTTGGTGCATAAACTTGGATTACTGTGATGTTAAAAGGTCTGCCTTGGATTCGTATCGAGATCATTCTATCATTTTTGAGATTGCATCCCAGTACAGCTTTCGCCACTCTTTTGTTGACTATGAGGGCCACTCCATTTCTTTTACGGGTTTCTTGCCCACAGTAGTAGATATGATTGTCATCCGAACTGAATTCGTCCATTTTAGTTCACTGATGCCCAGGATGTCAATATTTATTCTTGCCATCTCATTTTTGACCACATCCAACTTACCCAGGTTCATGGTTCTTACATTCCAGGTTCCTATGCAATATTTTTCTTTACAGCATTGGACTTTCCTTTCGCTTCCATGCATATCCGCAGCTGAGCGTCCTTTCGGCTTTGGCCCAGCCGCTTCATCAGCTCTGGATCTACTTGTACTTGTCCTCCGCTCTTCCCCAGTAGCATGTTGGACGCCTTCCGACCTGAGGGGCTCATCTTCCAGCATCATAACTTTTATATGCCTGTTGTCTTTGTCCATGGAGTTTTCTTGGCAGGGATACTGGAGTGGCTTGCCGGTTCCTCCTCCAGGTGGATCACGTTTGGTCAAAACTCTCCACTATGTTACATCTCCATAAAAGTTGTAATTGTCAAGGAATATCTGCATGTCCACCAAATGTACCTCCCTTGAGGACTGAATGCACCTCTGTCTTTATTCTATCTTTCTGCTTCTTGGTTGTAAATACACCTAATTAACAAGAAAGAAATGCAAGTATTTTGCCCTGTCTCATCACAGTATCTCCTACTTCTTCCTGTAGGACTTGTCAATGACACTTCTTTGGGTGTTGTTTGCTGCCTGCCTCCTGTCTGCAACCTATGGTTACAACATCTGGCTGATCTACTCCCCTTCTGTGGTACAAATGGCTTCTTTTATTTTGTGGGCTGTGTTCCCTAAGGGGTAATTTGTTGTGCCTCTGAAAGTGGAGGTAAGCCATAGCTATTGTGGCTAGCAGTCACTGACAGTCTAATTCTACATGAGTTTGTCCAAGTTAGTGACTGTCAGTGCCATCAACAGCGACTGTGCTGCTTGAAGGAGTGCTTTCTTTTGACTCTCCTGAATCTTCCAACATTTAGATCCATTGGATTTCCTCAATTTCTGGTGTTATAAGGGAGGGAGGGGGAGACAAAATAGCATAAACATTTGTAAATTTAGAGAAATCCACACTTAAAGGTGGTTGAATTTTCATGAGGACTTCAAAAACATCACAAACTGATATGGACCGGAAGAGGACTGAATTTAAGAAGGGACAAATGAGAAATTGAGAGAGATTGACAGACTCTCCTATCCCTGGTCACAACCGTTGAGATTCTGCTGTCATGTGATGTGTAGTGCTGTCCTAACATCGACTTTTCTGTGCTTCTCTCCTAGCTCATAAAAGACTTTTATAACGTAACCACTTTCCCCCCGAAGATGAACCCTAACATCAAGTTATTCTTGATGTCCTCCTCCATCGCTTTATATCCACTGGGAGGTACATTTGGGGCACTTCTGATTGGCGTCCTGGAGGATAGATGTGGCAGGTATAGACAGAATCATGACTGATGATGGGGAAATGAGTTGCTTCTGACCTACATGCCCTGATCTGTCGCATTGCTCACCACCACAGATACCAAATGGCCCATGAAGGGGGAGGAGGTCATAAGAAGAACATAAGACGGGCCCTGCTGGATCAGGCCAAAGGCCCATCTAGTTCCAGCATCTTGTCCTCACGATAGCCTACAGGTGCCCATGGAATGTCTGCAGATGCCTATGGAAAGCCCACAAGACAGCTACTAATAACTTAAGAAAGCTTTCCCTGACGTGTTACCCAATTCTATAATGGAATACTACCTGTAGAACTCCTGAAATGTTTCTTATTGTTCTTAGATTCTTGAGGCAGTATCTTTTGTGTTTTGTTTTATCGTCTGCGGCTTTGATAGCTTTTGGCCACAACGTGGTTATAAATCTGCAAGATGAATGGAAATAGAATCATAGAATTGTAGAGTTGGAAGGGATCACAAGGGCCATCTAGACCAACCCCCTGCATTGCAGGAATCTTTGGCCCAATGTGGAATTCAATCCCACGACCCTGTGATTAAGAGTCTCATTCTCTACTCACTTTAAAAAGCATGCTCTGGGTGCCTCCCCACACTTGTAACCACCATCAACTGGTCTGCGATCCCCATAGTGACTCAGATAGTTGAGGATATAGCCACCAGGGCTAAGTAAGGTTTCAAAGTTCTAGGCAGACAAGAAAGGAAGATAAGACAGGATCAGCACCTTGGAGAGGGACCAAGCAGTAAGCTTCAGGGCAGGCATACGCAAACTCAGCCCTCCAGATGTTTTGGATCTACAACACCCATCACCCTTAGCTAACAGGACCAGTGGTCAGGGATGATGGGAGTTGTAGTCCCAAAACATCTGGAAGGCTGAGTTTGTCTATGCCTGCTTCAGGGGAAGTGAGGAAATACAGTTGCTGCAGACCTACATCTCTGCAGTAGCATCTAATAACTGGCCTTATGATATACCCTTTAGAAAGGTAGCTCAGAGGTAGAGCACAAGCTTCCATGTAAATGATCCCAAGCTCTGCACCCCTCGCGGGAACATAGCAGGGTTGCAAAAGCCAACTTACGAGACCTCATGGAAACATGTGAGCAATGTCTGCTGAAATCCTAGAAAGGGCTTGGATAATTTTAAAGTGCTTAAGAGTAGGGCAGTCAGTGCCTTGCAGGTCTCCACCCATAACTAGCAAAGTGCAGAACCAAGTATCCATAGAAAGCTGAAGGCCTTATTGCAGTTCCATAGCTGCTCTCCTACTGCTGCTCTTTTGGTGGTATCATATCTTCACTAGCAACTCCCAACCCACACAAACCTTTCTGCTTTCCTTGTCTTTTCAGGAAAGGTACTTTGATTATTACTAATGTTTTGTCCATTCTCTCTGCTGTACTCATGGGTTGCACACATGAGGTAACTACATATGAATTCAAAATGGTTGCACGCTTGGTGACTGGAATATGCTCAGGTGAGTCAGGGTACTGGATTGAGTGATGTTGATGATGATGATTTTCATTAAACACATTCCCATAACTTATGCTGTTACCTGCCATGTCTCCGCATCATTTAACACAGTGATGTCTCATGCAGATAAAAAAAAAAACTGGTTGGCATTTTGCATACCTTCGTGGGGAACATTTTGTGGTGCTGACCAATTCCTGTTACTTCCCACTAGGGCCTCCTATACACCGTGGAGATATTCAGATGTTTATATACATCATGTCACATGCAGATCATGATTATCCCTTGATTTATCATCTAACCAGGAATAATCTACAGTGCTGTTCCCATATACATTGGCGAGATATCGCCTGTAGAGCTGCGAGGATGCATAACCATGATGGCCAACTTCTTTTTTTCCATTGGTGTCTTGTTGGCTCAGACCCTTGCTCTTCGGGAAGTCCTGGGGAATGAAAGAGGTAATTTAGAGAAGAGCACCCTTTGCTGTATCAGAAGCACAATCCCCGTTCGTTTATTGTTCGCAATATCATCAGTTACCCTTCTTGCACAGGTTGGCCGATTCTGATGTGCTTTGCTGGGGTCATGCCAGTGTGTCAGGTCTTCCTACTGCCCTTCATTCCTGAAAGTCCTAGGTACTTATACATTCAGAAGAAGGATGAAGATGGTGCAAGAGAAGGTAAAATACTATCATCTGTACTGGGACCTTTAGGAGTGGACACCATGCAAAGCTCCTGTGATAATTCCCGGGCAACTCATATTTAGGATCCCATTAGGAATGGTGGATAGCTTTACAATACTTTGAGATGTACTGGGACCACTGGGTGTGGGCAGCATACACAGCGAGGGTACCCCACAGCCTGAAGAACATTTGCCCATCCCATCAGACAAGGGTAGGGAACTTTTTCAGCTCCAGGGGCCAGTGGGCCAATGTTGACATGTGGATGGGGCAAGCTACCTGTCAATCCCATAACATCCTGATGACATCACATGGTTGATGGGTGGGTTGCCCCCCCCCACAGGTCATCATCTCCCATTTGAGCATGGGAAAGTGTTTCACCTACCCTTTTAAAGATTGCTGGAGCCATCTTTTAAAGGTGGAGCAGCAGAAAGACCCAATCACTCTCCTGAGCACAGTGGTAAGTAGACTCTTCCCACTTTCAACAGGGGAGAGGGAAATCCTGCTTACTGTTGAGTTCAGCTGCACCAGAGAGTTTGCTACTCAACAAGATCGCTCCCCCTTTGCATCAGATGATACAAAAGAGGAGCAATCCTGCTTAGCGTTTGGTCTCTGCTTTGCCCAGTGTGGTGATCACACAGGGTCCCTGGACGTTTGACGGTCTATTGACCCTGTACCACCACTGTAATTGCTTTCTTCGCTGCCACCAACCCGTTTCTCACAGGTACACACGGAGTCCAGACAGTTGTTAACATTAACAAATAATCAAGTTTATTTTATAGGCATGAACAAGCTTATGGTTTCAGTTATTTTTTCTTGGCTGTTTCTTAATCTTAGTTCCTTAACTGTCCTATTAGTTCCTAACAACTTCAAACTGATTATCCCAACTATCTATCTATCTGACTCCACCTAACAGTCCTAACAGTTCCTCTCACTCTCTCACCACACCACTCGACCAACCCACAGACTTATATCCTCCCTCTTCCTTCTCCAACTCCCAACCCTCAACTGACTTTCACACAACACCCACTCTAACTCCCCCTATCAGTTTCCACTGGCCAATCACATCACACTCATTTTAACCCTTTCCTTATGACCCACCTAGGAGGCAAACGCCACACCCAGCATATCAATGGCTCTCAACAACCAGCTGGCTGTTGGGCGCTTCGTGAGCTGCACAAAGTAGTTTTGGTCAAGCCCTGCCCTTTTGGTCAGGCCCTTCCCTTGCCTGTTTGGCAATCGGTGTAGGTGTGGGTGGGCACAGCTTGCCCAAAATAACTTTGTTGGCTAAGCTGGGAACCTCAATGGGGCAAGAGTGACCCGCAGGCTGGAGATTCCTTACCCCTGTCATGGGATCTCAGCACTCCGTCATTATTGTATCATTCCTTTTATCCTGATGTTGTGATTAACACAGGGGCTTTGCACTGCCTTTAATTAGGTGTTTAAAAAACTTCATTTCCACTGACCCCTTTGCTTATTTTAGAAGTCACCTCCTTTCTTCCTCTACTCCCACCTAGCCTTGCAGATGTTGAGAGGACGGGAAGACGTGGAGGACGAGATGGACGAGCTCCGCGAGGAGTTCTTTGCTGCGAAGGCAGAAAAGCCCTTGAACACGCCCAAATTGCTCTGGAAGAGAAGCCTGCGATGGCAAGTCATCACTGTAATTACCTTGATGGCTTCCCAGCATCTCACTGGAGTCATTGCGGTAAGAGAGATGCAGGCCAAGGTGTTCTGAGGTTGAGTCAGGTGAAACAAAGACTTGTTTTGAACACAAAGTTCACAGGCGATGACACCAGTCATTCATGCTGTGTATCTAGGGAGATGGTCATATTCTCTGCACTCGGTTGATATTCTGTTCTCCAGGTCTGCAACTATCAAGCACCCCAGCACTTTTAATAATTAAATCATTACAGTTTTAATTGCTTGTACTTCTTTTAACATTTGATGTTCTCAGCCATGGACTCCATTGGGAGGGAGGGTGGGACAGAAATGTAATAAACAAATAAACAAATTGAGCTAAAACCTCTGATTGTTCTGGTCTAATTTCAGGCTTACTATTATTCAGAGAGAACCTACACGTATACACATATGGGAAAAGACAATGTCCGCTTCATGAGTATAGCTACCACTGTGAGTTTCTGCCTGGCAAACATATTTTCGGTAAGCATCTCCCGACTCTTCTCTCTCTCATCTTAGCTCATTGGGTAGAGCATGAGACTCTAAAATCTCAGGGTTGTGGGTTTAAGCCACACAAAGATTCTTGCATTGCAGAGGGTCAGACCAGATGATCCCTGTGGTCCCTCCCAACTGTACAATTATTGGATTCTAAGGTTTCATCACCATACATTTAACGCACATGGCTTCTCCCCAAGGAACCATTGGTGCTGTAGATTATCCTTCTTGGAGCTGCAGTTCCTGGTACCCATAGGCACCAACTCCTTAGGGCTGACTTGTCTTCAGCCCCCTCAATATTGTTGATCAGGGGGCTCAGCACCCCCCAATACTGAGGGGGTGGAGGAGGCCAAGCGCTGAGTGGACTGAGGTGCAGCATCAGTGGCAGGCTCTTCCGGAGCTCAAGAGAGGAGGAGCCGTGGCCACTGAGGGAACAGTGAGCAAACATTGATTTATGAACCTTGGCCAAGCAAGTGTTTGAACCAGGCCAGAATCCCACATGCTATTTATTACACCTTCCTGGCTCATGATGGCCTCTTACCTGCTTCTTTGCCTCTCTCTCTCTCTCTCTCTAGATGTTTTTAGTTGAGTCTGTGGGGCGGAAGATTCTGCTTCTCTCTGGCTTTGGGATCTGCGGCATCCTCTGTGTTCTGTTAGCAATTACTGTGGAATTGCAGGTGGGTAATTCAAAAAGTTTGGGCATCTGTATAGCCTTTTGAACCTGGGCACCCTCCCCTTTAGTATGTATGTGCAGAGTAACTGGTAGCCATCGATAGCCCTCTCCTCCATGAACTAGTCTAATCCCCTTTTAAAGCCATCCAAGCTTGTGGCCATCACTGTGGGGAGTGAGTACCATAGTTCAACTGTGTGTTGCAAGAAGGACTTCCTTTTATCCGTCCTGAACTTCCAATATTCAGCTTCATTGGATGTCCAGTGGAGACTCTGAAATTTAAAATCCAGTAGGTTTGGGTGTGAAAGCTTCAAGATGTGAGTGACAAGGAATTGCAGATTTTTCCTGGAAAAGTCATTTGGATGATGATGATGATGATGATGATGATGATGATAATAATAATAATAATAATAATAATAATAATAATAATTTATTATTTATACCCCACCCATCTGGCTGAGTTTCCCCAGCCACTCTGGGCAGCTTCCAATCGAATGTTAAAAACAATACAGCATTAAATATTAAAAACTTCCCTAAACAGGGCTGCCTTCAGATGTCTTTTAAAGACAAGATAGCTACTTATTTCCTTCACATCTGAAGGGAGGGCGTTCCACAGGGCAGGCGCCAATGACAAGAAGGTCCTCTGTCTGGTTCCCCGTAACCTCACTTCTTGCAATGAGGGAACCACCAGAAGGCCCTCGGCACTGGATATCAGTGTCCGGGCTGAACGATGGGGGTGGAGACGCTCCTTCAGGTATACAGGACCGAGGCCGTTTAGGGCTTTAAAGGTCAGCACCAACACTTTGAATTGTGTTCGGAAACGTACTGGGAGCCAATGCAGATCTCTCAGGACTGGTGTTATGCGGTCTCGGCGGCCACTCCCAGTCACCAGTCTAGCTACCACATTCTGGATTAATTGCAGTTTCTGGGTCACCTTCAAAGGTAGCCCCACGTAGAGCGCATTGCAGTAGTCCAAGCGGGAGATAACTAGAGCATGCACCACTCTGGCGAGACAGTCTGTGGGCAGGTAGGGTCTTAGCCTGCATACCAGGTGGAGCTGGTAGACAGCCACCTTGGACACCGAATTAACCTGAGCCTCCATGGACAGCTGTGAGTCCAAAATGACTCCCAGGATCATGCATTTTGATTTCCCCCATTACAAGGGATCTCACAGGGGCTTCGCTCTTGATTTTCTGTGGCACCTGTTGCATTCCGTGGGCCAGCAATGCTGCGGGAAAAGACATGGCAATTGTAAAGAAGGGACATCCTTGAAGATCAAGGGGGTAATCAGTGTGGTAGACCCCAAACTCCCATCATCCTCAATCAGCATGGTGAAATGGACAGGGATGACCGGAGTTGTGGCTCTGCAACTTGTGGAGGGCACCATGTTGGCAAACCCTACTCTATGTAAATGGTACTTAGCAACTTTAGTAATACATAACTGACATATACCCAACTTTCTCTAACAGGACACCATAAGAGAGATGGCGTATTTCAGCACAGTTTTTATTCTCCTATTTCTCCTTGCACAGTGCATTGGCCCAAGTAAGTACTAAGCTCCATGGAGGATGTAAAGGATATGAATAGGAAAGATAAATTACTGAGTCAGTGAAAACGTTGCATTCAATGTTCTGAATCCTTTCTCTCTACCAAGATTCAACTCCGTGTCTAATTGTATTGGAGCTGTTCCTTCAGACATCGCGGGCCTCAGGCTTTGTGATTGCGGGCTTTGTGCACTGGTTCATGAACTTTGTATCAGGAGTGCTTTTTTATCACACAGAGGTGAGTGATTTTGATGGTCAGTTTTGACGGGGAGTTCATGGTTTGCTTTAGGGCTGTGCAGCAGATTTGGCTGAGGCCTGAAACAAATCGGGCCTATTTGGAGGGACTCAGTTTTTGGATGAGTCAGGTTCAGACAGCCACATTTGACTGCAGGTCACATTGCATGGCCCAGAACAATCCATGGCTGTTGGGGGTGGGGAATTAGGCATGAGGGAGAGGCAGGCAGGGTGGGGGGAAACTGCATGACTGCTGGATGCTTCCTCCTCCCCACATGACCCCTTCCGCTCAACAGCTGGGTGTGGGTGATACTGTGCAAGCAGCTTTCCTTTAGGATCTGGGTGTCAGGAGTGAGCCAGCAATAAATCACACTGTGCATGTTGGAGTTAACTCATTATTACCAGGTTCACTACAGACTTGGTTGAATGTCAGGCCTAATGAGCAGAAGAGTTCATTCCCTGTGGTCTTACTCCATGAAAAGAAGAAGAAGAAGAAGAAGAAGAAGAAGAAGAAGAAGAAGAAGAAGAAGAAGAAGTTGATTAAAATACAATTTAAAAAACAAGATTAAAATACAACATTAAAACATTAGGATGCAGCCTCTTCACAGGAGGAGAAAGGAAAAAGAAAGAGGGGAAGGGAATCAAACTGATTCTAAGCCAGAGGCCAGGTGGAACAACTCTGTCTTACAGGCCCTGCGGAAAGAAATCAGATCCTGCCGGGCCCTGGTCTCATGAGACAGAGCGTTCCACCAGGCCGGAGCCAGTGTTGAGAAGGCCCTAGCTCTGGTTGAGGCTAATCTAACTTCCTTAGGGCTCGGGACCTCTAGGGTGTTGCTATTTATGGACCTTAAGGTCCTCTGTGGGGCATACCAGGAGAGGCGGTCCCGTAGGTACAAGGGTTCTAGGCCATGAAGGGCTTTAAAGGTCAAAACCGGCACCTTAAATCTGACCCTGTACTCCACCGGGAGCCAGTGCAGCTGGAAAAGCACTGGGTGAATATGCTCCCATGGCAGAGACCCTGTGAGGAGCCTCACTGCAGCATTCTGCACCCACTGGAGTTTCTGGGACAGCTTCAAGGGCAGCCCTGTGTAGAGCGAATTACAGTAGTCAAGCCTGGAGGTGACCGCCGCATGGATCACTGTGGCCAGGTCGGGGTGGGAAAGGTAAGGGACCAACTGTTGTCAAAAATCAGTTGTCGAGGCTGAAAGTCCCCTCTTCCCCACAACAGTCTTAAGTCCCTTCCTCTCTAGGGCTTTTTCCAAGCAATCTGAGACTGTGCCTGTATGCAGCCAATCTCTCCTCTGCCCTTTTCATGCCACTTCTGGTTCAGGGAGAAAAGGAGGGAGGGGAGCTTGTCACAGCAGAAGGAGGAGACACTTGTGACTCCTCACCAGCCGAACTCATCTTGGCCTCTTGACCTCCCTCCTCCTCTGCTTCAGCTTCTGCCTTTGATTCTGGATTTCACTCTGCCACAGACTCTCCCAGCTCACCAAGTCCTGGTACCCCTTCAGCTTCTGGCATCTCCTCTTCCCAGCCTTCTCCCTGTGACCACTCATCGTCATCCCACCACCACTCCCTGGGCTCTGAGCTTTCCTTAGTGCTTCCTCAGCTTGTTCCTCCCACCATTCCTCTGTGCCCAACCAGTCCATGACACCGGGGATGGGGTGGCACCCTAGTCTCGGTAGGGAGAGGGGAAGGAGACACAAGGTTCCTTCCCACACCCCACTCCTGACTTCATGTTTAGAAAGGCTTTTAAAACCCTAATTAAACATTAGCCCTGACCACAAATGTATTCAGGAACAGACTGGGGTGAGGAGTTGGTCCCCAGGTTGACCCTGGATTGGAAACATAAAACAGATGGCCAGTGGTTTGCACTGGTAAATTAATCCCAGCCACATGTAGCACCATTACCTCCCCCTCTAATTAAATCCACCCAATTATAAAGCAATATGGTTGCCCCCCCCCATTTGCTTGCCCCTAGAAGCTTTAAGCTGTGAAGCAGTTTATAAATTTCTGGGTTGTTTTCTTTTGATGCCATATAAAGCACCAAAGCTAACAAGTCAGTGTGCAAACAGATTCCTTCATCTGTCCCAACTGCAACAAAACATGCCTCTCCCATATTGGTCTCTATAGCCACAGCAGGCACTGTAACTGTCCAGCAGTTTGGCTTCACTCACCTACCCACCCCAAGGCACATCTGAGACAAATGGATGCCAACTATTGCATTGTGGACTGGGGCTCAGAGCTACTGTGTAGGTGCCCATGTTTTGGTGCCTTCTGCAGTAGTGATGTATGGAAGTGAGAGCTGGACCATAAAGAAGGATGATTGCCAAAGAATTGATGCTTTTGAATTATGGTGCTGGAGGAGACTCTTGAGAGTCCCATGGACTGCAAGAAGATCAAACCTCTCCATTCTGAAGGAAATCAGCCCTGAGTGCTCACTGGAAGGACAGATCCTGAAGCTGAGGCTCCAATACTTGGGCCACCTCTTGAGAAGAGAAGACTCCCTGGAAAAGACCCTGATGTTGGGAAGGATTGAGGGCACAAGGAGAAGGGGACAACAGAGGACGAGATGGTTGGACAGTGTTCTTGAAGCTACGAACATGAGTTTGGCCAAACTGCGGGAGGCCTGGCGTGCTCTGGTCCATGGGGTGACGAAGAGTTGGACACGACTAAATGACTAAACAACAACACAGCCATGGAAGGGTATAGCAATATCTAAATTCAGGCTGTGTGATTGGTGGGCCATGTCTAACCTCTGGATTGCTTCTTTGACATGTCAGTACCAGCATATTGTACTTCTTCAGACTCCATATCAAAACCTGACATCCATAAACTGACTGGGTTGAAGAATTCACACTGATTCTGTAGCCTAACCTAAAGCTTCCCCAGACTGACCGTCATTCCCCTCTTTCAGAGTGTGAATGAGGATCTAAACACAGAAACACATACACCATGTGCATGATAGATAAGTAAATAAGCTTCCACGATATGCTCATCTCTCTCTCTCTCTCTCTCTCTCTCTCTCTCTCTCTCCCTCCCTCCCTCCCTCCCTCCCTCTTCCTCTCTCCCTCTCCCTCTCCCCACCCAACCTCCCCCATTTCCTTCCCAACTCTAGAAGTCAATTGGATCCTACTGCTTTCTGCTTTACTTCCCTATCTGCCTAGCCACCTTTTTGTTCATCTTGAAGTTTCTCCCAGAAACCAAGAAGAGGACCTTTGTGGATATCAAGAGAATCATGTTGCTGCGGTCAGTCAAGAAGGTCTCAGCCACGGTGGTTGATTAGAAACTCAAGAATCACCCTATGCAGTTATTTAGTTGGGATTTTTTTGTTTTTGTTTTTGAATTTCCAAACAAACGATTCTAAGAAAGCTCTTATTGATATCCTCCAATTGCCTTAGTTCAGCTAATGTAGTAATAATATAAGATTCCCTGCTGATCTAAAAACCAGTCTTCTTCTTTTTTACATTCAGTCTTACCTGTGAAAACAGGGACAAACTGAGAAAGCACTACATCTTATTAGCTGCCATCTTTTCAATGTTTTGGCTGAGTCAAAATATATGGAGATAGGGATGGGCAGTAGCTCAGGGGATGGGCAGTAGCTCAGTGGGTTTACAGGAAAGAGGTCCTAGGTTGAACCCTGAGAACTTCCAGGTGGAGCTGGGAAGGATTTTAACCAGAAGACCCAGAGAACTGCTGCGAGTCCTTGCAGGCAGTATTGGACATACCAGCTGCCCAGCTTCAGCATAAAACAGCTTCCTCTGTTCATTGATTGTTATCTCAATGGCTTTGTTTGAGCTGCTTGTGTACAGAAATGGATACATTGGGGGGCAACTTACTTGCAAAAATGTGCTCTCAGGCAAAATTGCATACACGATGTGCATTTTAGGAGAAGTGCATGCTAAATTGCTGGGAAATTTTCATTAGGCAAAGGGAATGTGGTGAACTGAACCTAAGACTGGAATAATGAAATATATGTATAAACTGAAATTCATCATCCCTAGGGACACTTCTACATTTCATTTTCTGAGTTTCATATTTAAATATATAACAAATCAGTTTGTCAGAGAAGTGTTTACCCACCTCTGCTTTCTGTGACTGGTAAATGGCTCTGTTTTGTCCCCCCTTTTTGTCTTTTCGAGATGCCTTTGTTTGTTTGTTTGTTTAATACCCTGCCTTTCTCCCTGTTCAGCACCCAAAGGGGCACATAGCATGAATGTAAACAGCTAAAACCACACACTATTAGAAACAACACGGAAAACACGGAAAACCTTTTAAGCACACAAGTCAATGTACAACACTCATCCTCAGAAAACCCAGCCGTAACAGTAACTGGGCACCCAAAGGCCTGTCTCAACAACAATAGCAACAAGTGTTTGTCTACTGGTGAAAGGAAAGCAATGGGTGGGGGGCAGGCCCTAGCTTCCCATGGAAGGGAGTCAGCTCCACAATCTGAGAGCAGCTACCGAGGAGGCCTTATCTGCTGTTAACATATCACCAGCATGGTTTGCCTGTAATGTCTCTTTTAATGGTTCAGTTATATCCCTGGGATTTTTAGAAACTAAATTTCTAAGACACATCTTGTCTCTTAATGCATAATGTATGTAGAATGCACACACACAAATACTAAACTGCCATTTCACAGGCTTATGACATATGTTTTGGACAGATGATAATAGATCATTGGACAACTGTTGTTCCCACCCCAACTCCAAATCTTTTCAGCCTAAAGAGTAAATGCTACATTGGGCTTTAAAAGAGGATGCCATACAGAATACAACAGTCTTCAGCAATACGTAATGAGAATCTTGCCCCACATTGATCCTTGGAATGAGAAAAAATGGTTGTCACAGTATTTCCTGGTGCAAATTTTTGAGTAGTGTTGAACATGAATGAACCCTGTAGATCCATCCAATGAGAAAATGAGCAACACAGTCTATTGACAAATCTAGAAACCAATCACACATATATGACAACTTACATACTTTGTGCCAATCCTGGAAAACTTCATGGGAAAGAAAAGTTTTAAGTTGCAATGTGCAACATGGATGTGAAACTGCTTTGAAAACTACTTGGAAACTCATGGGTGGTGGGGAGGTGTTGGAGAACAGGCCTGTGTGTGCCATCTTGCATACCTTGGGACCACCTAAGCTAGTCTGCTGCTCTTGGGTACAGTGGAAGATTCTGACCCATGGCTAGGGTTGAACCAAAATTCCACTGAAAATCTATTTATACATGGACCCGGGGCACATCTTGTCCTTCACCTACCCCAGTATTTATTGGGGATCTATGTCCCATCCCTCTTTGATTCATATGCAATCACCCCCAAACAGGTAGCATCTACCATTGCAGCAAAACCAACACCATTCCAAAGTTTGGCAGGCTTCATCCCCTCATCAGGGGTGACCATCCGGCATCTTGCATCCAATTATGGGCAAAAATAAAATATATACAAACATTTCCTTTGTGTGTGTGTTTTTAGACACCAGACTTTAAAGTTCCCTACACGAAAACACCTGGATGTATCTGTCTACGATTTGGTGGAGCAAGTTTGCCTGCAAATTTAATCCACTTCTGTGAAAGAAAGAATAGCTATGTATATAGGGAATGGGGGCAACAGAGTTTTGTTTTTAACAGATTTAATTTGGTCCCAAGTAACAAGTTGAACTGGAAAGACACAGTGGCTCCCAAGCTGTTTGGTGCTTCCCAAAGCTACAGATACAAGTCATATCTGGTCAATGACATCTGAAGGGCACCATCTCACCTACTACTCCTTTACTTCCATTTCTTTGGGCACTGAAATGCCATCTGTCCACCACCCCATCTCCCAGCTATTCTCCTGTGTATGTAACGTAACCTTTTCTACCCATACCTCTCATAGTATTTTTTTTCTTCCTATGAAAACGACTAGAGAAATGGATGCAGTGTTCAGAATTCTACATCCAGGTTCAGGTACCATAAGTGTGTGCTCTCTCTCTGTCTGTCTCTCATATCTAATGGCACAAAAGTCAACATTTCCTTTTAAAAAAACCAACCCTAATTTTATCTAGCAAAGGAACTAGAAAATTAATTACATAGAAGATTAGTGTGACTACATTATAATAAATGGACACCATGGAAGACATGAATGATTGAAAACTTAATATGAACCAGATCTGTAAGAAAGTGGAACTCTTAATATTTATATGATCCATTTAATAGATTTCCAATTTATTTTGGGGCACATCCATTTAATAAGTAACTGATTACCCTGATCTGGAGCAAATTGACCATAGTCCGTGGAGCTCCATTAGGTACATCATTAAGTATGAGCTCATGCACTGGATTGTGGTGTGTTTGTATGTTTGTGTGTATGTGTTTTGGTTTATACCTGTACCCTAACCACCTCCTCTGTAGCCCATCGTGAGAGCTTAAAAATACAAATGAGTGCTGGGGGGAAAAAGCAGTGATGGGCAATTACCTTTAGGCTTTACATAGCTAATTTGCCCTACCTTCTCAATACTGGAAGAACTTGTGATTTTGCCAGTCTGAGACAACGGGAAATGGTCGTCCCCTCTCTGTGTCCCTGCTAGCCCTTTCCATTCTCAGAAGCTATCACTGATAGTCTCTTATCTCCAAAACACCTTTCTCTGCAAGTATCCACTGTGTGTACAGCCACATATAGTACAGGAGAAAGTGCATGCAAAATGTATACAATTTAAATGCAATGTTTACCCTGCATTTTTTTCCAAGTCCAGAGAAATGAGATGGATTGAGCATATGGTTGAGCATATATGCACAACTCTGGGAATGCCTTTCAGTTCCAAATCAGTATGTAGAGTGGTATTCTTTATTTGTAAGTTACCGTGGTACCTCGGGTTAAGAACTTAAATCGTTCTGGAGGTCCATTCTTAACCTGAAACTGTTCTTAACCTGAAGCACCACTTTAGCTAATGGGGCCTCCCGCTGCCACTGCATGATTTCTGTTCTCATCCTGAAGCAAAGTTCTTAACTCGAGGTACTATTTCTGGGTTAGCGGAGTCTGTAACCTGAAGCGTCTGTAACCCAAGGTACCACTGTATTGAACTGGAAAAATAAACTCTTGGTAACGTAAGACACATATTTTTAGTTTGTACAGGCACCGATCATTTTAGGCACATCCAACTGGTGCATGATCATCAAGGCATGGTTCCTTTTGGACCCGGAAGAAGGCAGAATAGGGGCGTAATGGGGTGGGGCATAACATTTCCAGAGATCAGAAAGAGACTTTTGTCTGTGTTTGGATACAATTGGGCATCTTTTTGAATAAAAATGACAGACTGAACCTTTCAAAACTGCACTGATTTTAACCACTGATTTTGAAATTACACTGACTTTTTTATTTTTTTGCTCCTTTTAATTTCTGAGAAATACTGATTTTGAGACTGCTAGTATAACATAAAATATAAAAGAAGGAAAGGTGTGTTTCTCTCTTTTAGTTGGTAAAGCAAATATCTGGATTCTACACAGTCCATTTGAGGCAAAATCTCTGAGAAAGTGGGGTTGTGGGAGGAGAAAAGGAAGAGAGCAGCTGACAAAATATTTCTGTTAATAAAATGATTGCATGGATAGCCAGAAGGAGAATGGCCTAATGTAAAAGGGATGCATTAGGATTTACAGTAACATCAACATACGTAGCTATTCCATATTAAGGAGACAACCTTACAGGTCAGTTCTGAATTGCTAAGAGACAATGGTAATTTTAGTGAGGAAAGGAAGCAGACATAATCAGGACTAAATAACAGGTTTTTTTCCAACTGCATTGAAGAATCTTAGGCTTCCTATTTTTCTCCATGATTATTTCTCCCTCATGACAGCATGGGATACAATCAAAATGCAGTATCAGTCAAACAACAATTGCAATATATTCTGCTGCAGTTTCTTTGGAGCCATTTAAATTGCGCAAACTTTCCTAAAGTACAAATTTTTGATGCATTCTTCACCCTAAAGTACGTTTCCACTAGTGCTGTCTGTGGTCTAGAACTGAAGACTGTGAGGAGAACCTGAGCTTACAGGGTTAAACAGCTCAGACTGTACGCCCTGCCTACTGGTGGGAGGGGGGAACTTCTACGTCAGTTCCGAGAGACTCAAGTCTTTGTTCTGTCTCTCTCTACTTTCGCTTTTGAGGAGAGAGGACGTGTTTTCACGATGCTGTTCGCTGTGATAGATAATGGATAGTCTGCTGTAAATAAAACTGCTTTTAGCTGCTAAGATCCTGTGTGGACTTTATTTAAGCACACTGAAGAAGGCACTGGAGGTTTTTTTTTTGCAGTTTCCTCTTGCCGCTGTTGAAACTCTGCTATACTCAGATGTCGAACTTTTGGAATGCAGAGGCCTGTGATGGGAAGCGTGCCGGACCTCACGCTTATCTGAGCAATAAATCAATTATCTAACAAAGACTTGGGCCCAGACTGAAAGCCTTCA